GTTGAGTAGTACTTTGCTCTCAAAGGATTTATCATCAATTTTACTGCTTGTCTAGATCACATTTGTGACTCGGTAACTTTCAAGTCTTTCTTTTCATACCAGGTTGTCAGTCCTGGTCATTATCCCTGTCTAGTCCTGTCTGTCTGTCTCCCCACGCTCCCTACTATGGACTGAGCTCAGGACCTCGAGCTTGCAAAGCAACTGCTTTACTACTTGAATCATGCTCCCAGGCCATACCAGTCCTTTGATACCAGTGCTCAATTTTGTACCTGCCTTGCTACTAAGGTTTCCTCATGTGTTAACTAATCTCTACAATATTATCACTCATTTTTTAACAAAACTCAAGTCATCTTGTCTTGTGGGACTTAACTGTCACATAGAATGTAAACCTAGGATTCAAATTTTTCCACCATCATCCTTGGCCAAGAATAATTATACACATTTTCAAATTATGGCTACTTTTCCTAGCTATAAAATTATGCATTCCTAATGTGAAAAATAAAAACAAAAGCAATCAGTGATTCTCAAGCATTAATACAAAAGGTTGCTTTAAAATTTATTCCAATGTGTCTATTCTATAGTCTTGTAAAATAAAAATAAATTAAGAGATAAGTTGAGTATTATCAAGTTGTTATAGAAGTTTCTAAATATTTACTTTTAATGTAAATAAAATGGACTAGAACTAGCACTAGTCCCTTTGAGTACTGTGAACAGTAGTGTCCGAAGGCATGGGTTCTCAATATACAACTCTTGTTGTATATTTAGATAAATGGCTATGAACCCCTTTATGCTTTTTGCATCCTACATTTTATTTCAACATGTCCCTAAAGATAACAAGGCCCTCAGCTAACTTACCTGTGAAGGATACTCAGAGAGAATTAGGAGTTTACCTGAAGCTCTTACTTGTACTACAATCAAGCATGCCCTCCGCCTAGGTATCTTAACTTCTCCATGTTCCTCACACTCAAATCAAACATTTTTTCTCCATAAATCCTCACAGATTAGGAGCATTGAAATTGGTAATAATTAATATGCTGCAGTGTGGATATTCTCTAATAGGTTCACATACTGCCTCTGTGATTAGATTTGAGGGAAGCAGGAAACACAACAGTCCTCTCTTCATTTTCCACATAGCACACAGTAAATAAAACTGCCTAGAGTAAAGATACTTGACTGTAGGATCCCAATGAGTCACATAATCCCACAGGCAAAAATCAGCACGTGATTTGCCTTACAAGGTATGAAATTTTGATAGGTATGGACTAACTACCTGTTCTCTGACATCATTATGAAATACCACTGACTAATCATGCCAGCCTGCTTATATAAACATGGAATTATAATTGAATATTTGCAATAAAACTGCATCATTAAGGAGACATTATGAATGACTACAACAAAATAAATATAGGAAGCCTCTACATGACTGCAATATACAAGGCAATACTCCTTGAAGGAAGGAGATTAAGGTGACAGTATATGGTTGATGGACTTCAAATAGCTATATGAAACAGAACTAAAAAACCTCTTAAAATTGCTGTAAGTGGGATGGGGAGGGGGCTGAGGGGGAGAGACAATGGGGGCAATGTAACTAATGTACAATGTAAGTCTAACTGGAATTTTCACTATGAATCCCCCCTGTATAATGAATATTTCCTAATATAAAATTTATTTTAAAAAATGTAACAAGCTATAGGTGATGGTCCAAGCCAGTAATCCCAGCTATGTGGTTGGTGTAGGTTAGGAAGATCAGGGTCTAAGGCCAGTCCCAGGGCAAAGGCAAGGAAAGAGTAACAGAGTGGGTTAGACTGATTAAAGTACAATATATTTACAGGTAAAACACCAAGGCAAAAGTCCAAAATGAACAATGAACAGACACTTACACAATGAAGGACAGGAATGGAGTATAGACCATGATAAAGGAAGAGCACTAGTTTTATCAAGAATGTTCCTAAACCTTTTCAATTCAACAATTAACAATTTAAAACATATGCAACTTTTATCCACACAGATACCACATGTGACAGCCCATTACTGGAAAAACTCACCATGCCCCTATTATTATTTTAAATGTAAATGGCAAGATTCATAAATTTTGGGTTAGTAAAGTGACTCAAGTAGTACAGCACCTGACTAGCAAGCGTGAGATCCTAAGTTCAAACCTCAGTACTGCCCCTGACCCCCAAAAAATCATAAATTTCTAGGTAAAGACTAATGTGAATGCTTTCCATTTAGACAGGTTTTTTTAAGAGATGAAAGACACCACAATTATTCATGACACACCTGTCATTTCACAGATGTACAGATTACAGCCTAGGAAACTGATTCAAGTCACAAAGTTAGAGATCCAGCACTTCAAAAATCACAGCAGAGGCCTACCACAGTGCTCCACATCTATAATCCCAGCTACTCAGGAGACAGAAATCACAAGGATCAAAGTTCAAGGCTGGTCTGGGCAAAAAGTTAGTGAGACCCAATCTCAATCAATAAGCCAGGATCAGTGGTTAACACCTATGGTCACAGCTAAGTGGGAGGCTAGAAGTAGGACTGCGATCTGAGCCAACCCTGGGCAAAAACGAGATGCAATCTGAAAAATAACTAATCCAAAAAAGGGGATGGGGACAGGGGCCTCAATTGGTAGAGTGTCTGCCTAGCAAGTGCAGGGGACCCTAGTTTGAACTCCAGATCACCACCAAAAAACAATGTAAAGGCCTTCTACTCTCCTCTAAAGAGCTCTAAATGACTTGATTTTCAGCATGTACCTGCTTTTCAGCATTCTACTGTTTACATCCACACTGATGGCTTTGTCTACTGTCTTCTCACATGCCAATGGGTCTGCTGTGTCCAACTCTATTCCACTTCTAACAAAGGGAGTTAGAAATCAAACATCTAAACTTATGAGAAAAGTATGTAAACCAAGAAGAAACTCATTCTTAGTGACAGCCTCTAAGAAATCCATAAAATCCAGCATGAAGATGTAGCTCAGTGATAAAGTATTTGTCTAGGATATGTCAGGCCCTGGGATCAATTCTCAAAAACAAGAAATCTATAAAAATCAAATCTACACCTTTTAAACAAGTCTACCTGCTTAAAAACATTTTCTAAAAACTTTTTCATTCTCAAGCAAGTCTTGAAATGGAAATAATATTAGGTACCTGTGGTGGTAATGTGATTTTACCTGTGCCCACAGAATCTGTTTTGCCTTGAAAACATCTGGTCTTCCTGAATTTTTAAAATCATTTTATTAAGGTATGATTGACATGTAAGATGTTGTACATATTAAACCTGGCACAGTGTCTCACACCTGTAATCCTAGCTACTCAGGAGGCAGTCAGAAAGATTACAATTCTAAGCCAGCCCAGGCAGAAAGTTCAAGAAAGCCCATCCCCACCAATAAAAGCTGAACTTGAAGGCACACACTTGCCATCCCAGCTCTGTGGAAAGTATAAATAGAAAGATGTCGGTCCAGGCCAACTGGGTATGAACATAAGGCCCTCTTTGAAAATAACAAAAGTAAAAAAGGGCTGAGGGCATAGCTCAAATGGAAGACCACCTGCCTAGCAAGTGGAAGACTCTGAGCTCAAAACCTAGTACCACCACCAAAAAATGTTGTACATATTTAAAGTATACAATTCAGTAAGACTGGAGATGACTAAACATATGCCATGGAACCATCATCACCACAGTCTTCCTGAATTTCATTTTTTTTTATTTTGGTGGTACTGGGGTTTAAACTCAGGTCCTCATGCTTACTAAGCATGCACATAGTCTACCACTTGAGCCCCTCCACCAGCGGTTTTGCATTGGGTATTTTCAAGATAGGGTCTCGGGAACTATTTGCCAGACGCTGGCTTTGAACTGCAATCCTCCTGATCTCTGCCTCTTCAACAACTAGGATTATAGGTGTAAGCCACCAGCACCTGGCCTGAACTTTATTTTGTATCACCCTCTGGTCAGATTCTTCCCAAAAGCATCTTCAGTTCATATCACTTTTTGCTAAAATTACTATTTTTATTTGGGGGGGGTCTTTTTTTTATGCTATACACAGAGATATTTATTAAATAAATACATTAGCCAGTGAACAAGAAACAGTTACACAGCTTGTTATATGACTTCTTAGGAAGAAGTTCCAGTTCCACTCCCTTGCATGAAGGTTCCTCCAAGGCAGGCCATATTTGGGGGGGTCTTTCTTCCATTACTTAGGAAACAAAACATTATAACTTTATAGTAATTGCCACCAAGGTATATAAACTCCTGAACATCTTCAGCTGCTACTGATCCTAACCAGAAAAGAACACTTTCTTTAAGTGACTAGTATTGACTATAAAGACTCAAGGCATCAAAATGCTCATTTCAACTTACTGCAGAATCAGTTCTTCTAAAATTATTACAAAAATTTACACATTGTCTACTAACCTCAATTCCAAATTAAATCGAATTTCTAATAGAAAAGGTTGTAAGAACTGGGCACGGTGACACATGCCTGCAATTCTAACACTGGGGCTGCTAAGGCAAAAGGGTCAAGTTTGAGGACAGCCTGGGTTACATAACGAAGCTGTCTCAAAAAGATCCTCCCCTCAAAAAAAGAAAGTTTTAAACTGGTTTTTAAAACATTTGGGTCAATTATGAAAAGTTTTTAAAAAAGAAAGAAAGAATCTTTGAAATTTAGACAAAACAGTCAAAACTAAAGTTCAATCATGATTAACATGCCTATATTTACTCACATTAACAGTAACTGTTAATAGTAACACGCTATCTTAAAAAGCAGAATATATTAAGATGAAGAGAATGAGCAAAAAATAAGCAATAGGATTTCAGCCCTTCACATATAATCTCCCTATTCCATGCACAGAGATCAAATAAAATCCCACACATAAAAGATAAAGAATAAAAACATTTTGGTCCATAAAAAGCTCTCCCCATACTTAAAAAAAATAGAGGTTAATAATCCCAACATCACTTCTAAATTCCATTTTCACTCAAGTTTCAATTTCACCTACCTTTCTTCTCTGAGAGATGTTGAGGGCACCAAAGTCATTAAACAAGGATGAAGCAGGTGAAGTTAAAGGATCTGGAAGGCAAGTTACATAAGTTTCCACACAGAAGAACTCAGAGAACCCACAAATCTAATAAATATTAATTTGATAGTGCCTACAATAAGTCATATGCCACAATAATTACACTGCCTCACAAAGTGATGCACACTAATATTCTTGAAGGAATTAAGAACAAATTGATGAATGCTTCATTCAGCCCATTTTCAGTATATGACTTCAGAAACTACAGATTAGGATACATCTATTTGATTAAAACAAGAGAAAAATCAAACAGAAAAAGAAGACTCTAAATCATGCTATTGGAAATATGTTTATAAAGAAGTTAGTTTATCTACAGTAAATAGGTGCTTGTGTTCTTGAGACAAAACCCTACTCTGAAAGCACTAAGTTGGATTTATAAACATTGACAAAGCCTTAAAACCATCTACTCTACAAACTACTCCTTATTTTAAATTTATCAAAAGATATTTGACATTCTTTTTAAAAGCACAGGGTAAACTATTGAATTTTTAAAGATGGAACTATTAAATGTTTCAAAATACCAATATAGAGTCCAATGATTTTACATATTCAAATAAATTACAGACAAAACTGTAACTCTTAACTATTTCTTCACAAATCAGAAGTTTCTGAAAAGGTATGCTTGAGATTCAATGAAGTATCTTATCTTCACTCTGAGCTTTAATAAATCTTGTATTTTTTTAATCTCATAGATTATCTGTGAAATCCTTCAAAACATACTAAACTCCCTCATTTAGAGTTTCATTTTCCAGAGCTCCCCTCCTCGTAGAAGGGATGAAGAGTAATGATGTCCCTTGCAGCACAGCCTCTCCCAACACTGTTGTCCTCAATAAAGTGTTATTCACTAGAGGGTAGGGAAGAGCACGTATGAGTACATGAGAGAAAGGGAAAATATAAGTGCAGGTAAGGCACCCAAAGATAGTTGTCATTTTAAACTAAATTTAGGAGAACAGGCCTGCTATCTCATATCCTTCATGGGATGCAATTTCTCCTACTTCAGCCAACCCACTAAGTAAAAAATGAAAAATATTATCATTTCAGGAAAATGAACACCAGTCTTTAAAGACACCAGTGCCTCATGCCTATAACCCTTGCTACTTGGGAGCATGAGATCGGGAGGATTGCAGTTTGAAGCCAGCAGGGGCAAAAATCTCCCAAAATTCATTTCAATTGGATGCAGTGGCATGTGCCTGTCATCCCAGGTACAAAATGTGGAGAGATGGAGAGGTGGGGCCTTTAAGAGGTGATTAGGTCATTAGATAAATACCATTATCACAAGAGTGGCTTAGTGTGAGAGTAGGTTCCTGATAAGAGAATGTGTTTAACCCCTTCTCCTCCTCCTCTTTTTCTTTTTCTTTCTTTCTTCCTTAGTTACTTTCTTTCTTTCTCTTCTCTTCTCTTCTCTCTTCCCCCCACCCTCACACACTTGTTCTTCTGTCTTCTGTCATGGGATAATGCATGAAGAAGACCCTGACCAGATGTGAGCTCCTTGACATTGGACTTCCCAGCCTCCAGGACTGTGAGAAATAAATCTCTACTCTTTATAAATTGTATAATCTCAGATATTCTGGTATGGTAGCATAAATGGATTAAGATAAGTATGAACTTCATTCCACCAACTCAAATGTACATGAAATATAAAATATTCTGGAATGAAATTTAAAAATAAAATAAAATAAAATAAACTCCCTCATTTGAAGTAACTTTAAATCTCTTCATAATGCACTATCTACCGATTACTGTTTAATTCCTCTTTCTTCTGAATTTGCATAGTCTAACTCTTCACTGGATTTAACAAATAGAAAAAATTTTATACAATTTATACACTTAAAAATAGGTAGTTACTATTCATCCATTCTGCATCCTTTGTGCTACCTCTGATAGCATTTAAACTCTATGGGAATTTGAAAATATATAATGCTACAAACTAGCTTCTAAAATTCTATCCAATATTAAAATTTATTTTCTAAAGCACGAGATTGAAATTTCTGAATAGGACAGAGATTTGAGACCCATATATAAAATGTCTATCACATGCAAATCATGCAAATTCTTATTCCCACTATTAATTAATTAACATTTTGCTGATAAGTATTAGCACTCAATTTTTTCATATTTTTTAAAATCTTATTTTCACCATTATTAATTATTAACATTTTACTTAGTATTAGCACTCAACTTTTATATACTTTCAAAAAACCACTGAACTTTTTTAAAAACTAGAATACAGAAAAAGATATGGAAATTTGTGCATCAAAAGTCTTAAAAATGTATCATTTATTACCACTGTTAACAAGGGTGAGAAAAATGAATACTCTCTTTTTGTTTGTGTAAGTACAAAGTAGTATAAACATTTTGGAGACCAACTTTGAAGTGTTATCAAATGTTGAAATGTGAATTCCATCTGCAGAGCAACTCTGCTTTGAAAGATGTTGCTTAGATATAATTATACTTAGATATATGATAAAGGATTATGCACTATCATAATGTTCATAATAAAAAACAGTGAAAACTAAAAAAAAAAAGTCTTAAAAATGTTCGTAATTTTTGAAATGATTCTACTTGCAAGATGTGTCCAGAAAGAAATAATAATTTCCCTTGTATTATGTACTAAAACACTGGCACACTTAGTACATTGGAGTGTATTAGTTTTTTAAAAAGAAACAAAAGTAGTTAAGTAAACTATAAAACTAAACAATGGAATTTAATTCACAGTAATTGAAGATATTCATGATTAAGGTATGTTTAATGTTAATTGTATGTATTTATATACAGAGAAAAATGGAGCAATCTAAATTTTAGTAGTCACCCTTGGGTGCAAAAAAGGGTGGGGTTTTTTTCTACTTAATACTTGCTCACAATTTTTAACATTTCTACAATAGGCATATTGCTTTTCATATCAGAAATATACAAACACACACACAAGCAAAAGGATCCAGGACTTACCATGGCCTGCGTATGGCTTGGCACTATCATTTAGAAGGCTCGGAGAGCTGCTACTATTAGTCATTCTCTAAAAAATAAAATATGTACACATAGTGTCATTGAAAAACACAGAATTAAAAGTATTCAACCAATTAAGACTCAGTCGGCCAGGTGCCGGGGCCCCACGCCTGTAATCCTAGCTATTCAGAAGGCAGAGATCAGGAAGATCACGGTTTGAAGCCAGCCTGGGCAAATAGTTTGTGAGACCCTATCTCGAAAATATCAAACACAAAAAACGGCTGGTGAAGTGGCTCAAGGTGTAGGCCCTGCCTGAGTTCAAGCCCCAGCACAGTTAAAAAAAAAAAAAAAAAGACTTTGGTTCTTTCCCTTTAATTAAACTAATTTTCCCATAAATGTTGTTGCCTGGAGTACAACTCTCTATACAAAAACTTCCAAAGACTTCTGAAACACATCAAATAAAAGTTGTTTTTCACTGATCAGTTATACAAAAGCAAAACTGCAGACCTATTTTGAATTGCATTTCCATAACATAATTAGAGCTTGAGCAAGACACTACTAAGTTTCCTTGTCCATAAACTATAAATTCCAATCACACACCAAGATGGTGTAAAGTAACTATATAAAGTCAATAAATGTTCTAATATCCTCTCTCAATTTGTATCATCAGGACATTTCCATTTTCTAAACATGTCATCTGTTTTACTTCACAGCCTCTATGTCTTTCCATGCTGTAAAGTCCTTCATGCCTATAGGCCTCTTATATGACATCTAACTCAATACCTTGAAAAGTATAAGGTTAGGAATTCTCAACTCTGGCTTTAATTCTGTAATCCAGAACTTAGACATTCAATTTCTTATTCAATTTCATAGGGAAGGGGAGGGGCTGAGTTCTTGAAGTGATTTTAATATCAAAAAAAAAAAATTGGCTCATGGGCAATCAAAAGAAGGTATATGCAGGCACCAGTGGCTCATTCATATAATCCTAGCTTCTTGGGAGGCTGGGACTGGGAGGATCATAGTTCAAGGCCAACCCAGGAAAATAGTTTGAGAGATCCCCATCTCCAAAATAACCTGAGCAATGGACTAGAGGTATGGCTCAAGTGTTAAGAGTGCTTGCTTTGCAAGCACAAAGTCCTGAGTTCAAACCCCGAAGGAAGAAAGGAAGGAAGGAAGACCCATTTATGGAGGCAAACCAGTAATGTATCACAGAAACAAGAAAGGACAATATACCAACTTTACTATGGCAATTTTCCAATTAACATCACTAAAATATTTTTCAATCTTACCCTAGTCTACAAAATTCCGCCACATCAATCTATAGAAATATAAATTAAAACATCCTCAGCACTGTATGGTTTATGATAGAAAAAAAAAGTTTTTACAAAGAACAAAATGGATTATAGAAAATTCAAAAACACTGTTAATATAAAATATTGTATTTTATATTATATTGGGGTACTGGTGGCTCATACCTGTAATCCTAGAATCATAATTCAAAGCCAGCCCAGAGAAACAGAACTATCTCAGATATACTCAACACAAAAAAAAGGGCTCTTGGAGTGGCTCAAGCACTAAAGTACCTGCCTAGCAAGTGTGAGGCCCTGAGTTTGAACCCCAGTACCACAAAAACAAAACAAAACTCCTGAAGTACTGTGGCTTTAAATTTGACATTTTAAACATGAAGCCAGCAATATGCTTCTATAAGGAAAAGAACATTCCTAAAGAAAACCCAGAAAACTGGTACCAGTACTTAGCTGTCCCTAAGAAGATTAACAGGATGGCTAGTGAGTGGAGATGCATATGTATATATTATCTACACACAAAAAAGTAAAATACTATTATTATGCCAAGTTTAATTACTATATATATACATACACAAAATAAGTGGAACTAGTCTCTATATACTCTACCACCATCCACCTTTCCCAACCAAACCCTTGAAAACTCTCAGACTTCAATTCTATGAGAGCTGTCTTAACTATATCCAACCCATCTCTACATCTCACAAATCTCACTTCCCATTCAAATCATTTAGGAATAAATGAAACCTCTTGATGTTCCCTACTCCTGGAATAAACTTCACTGTTTTAGTGTACTATAAATTCACATTCAGAATACCTGCATCAAGGGATACTTTGTTTCCACAGGGCTTCCAAATCCATTGACTCCAATAAAGCTGGTGCTGAAATAGGAATCTGTGAGACTTGTATCAGTTAAAGCACCTCCATCCATTACAGGAACTGAAAGAGAAGGAAAATCCTAGTATTTAAAATTATTTGAGGACAAAACATTTATTTTTGCCTCTATGTTCCTAAATAAATTTGAAAGCCTCAAATGTCGGTCACATGTTTACCAGTTCATAACACAAGGCAAGATCAAGTAAAATTTACTCTGCCCTAAAAAACTGTTAAACAAGCCAGAAGCCAGTAACTCCCACCTTGTAATCCTAGCTACTTGGGAGGCTGAGATCAAGAGGATCAAGGTTCGAAGCCAGTCCAGGCCAATAGTTCACAAAACCCCATCCAAAATAACTACAGCAAACCAGATGTGTGGCTCAAATGGTAGAGCACCTGTGTTGCAATAGAGAAGCCCTGAGTTCAAACCCCAGTCCCAATGAAAAAAACATGTTCAACAGTATTCTTGTTGACTACTTTTCCTATAGAAATAGTATTTTATATTTATCAACACACATAACATGAAGAAATCACACTTGCATTTCTAGTTTCCTCATCAAGTTTTCTTCCTTTCACTTAGCAAAAGGACAGTAGAATATAAGTCACTACAATTTCTCCCGAGAATCATTATATGGTAAACAGAGGCAAGGTTATCGATACTGTTTCACAACACATCTTTTGAAACAGACCAGCAGTCTCACACGCATTAACTCAGAATTTGGGGGGGGGGGGTGGTATGCAAAGGTAGCAATGGGATGGCGTTGATTTTAGGGTAGCAGAAGGATACTGAAGGATTGTAGAACTAGGAGGGCAATCACATTGCATGTTAACAAAGTACTAAACAAGGTGTTCTGGATGCTACTTCCTGAGTACTTGGCTTGTAGCTACTTTTTAAACTGCTGTTTAAGTGTAAAGTCTTATGCTTTACCAGTAAGCTGAGCTGCAAGAAGAGTTGCCCTACTCCAGACAAAATCATTAAGAAATCTTCCCAATCCTGATTCCCCAGCTAAAAAGCAAACTAAAAAAATAAATGAATAGGCCAGCCTCCTGTGGCTCACACCTGTAACCCTAGTTACTTGGAAGGCTGAGATAAGGAGGATCATGGTTCGAGGCCATCACTGGCAAATGTTGTTTCCCCATCTCCAGAGCAAAATGGATTAGAGATATGACTTAAGCAGCAGAGTGCCTGCTTTCCAAGTGTAAAACCTTTAGTTTAAACTCCAGTCCCACCTAAATAAGTAAATAAGCTAACAGATAGATATAGGGGCTCCTGACAAAACAATCAGTAAATTTTTATTTCCTCTTTTTTAATTTTACAAAATCAAAATACACTGCTTGGGCTGACAGTAAAATGTGAGGAAACAATTTAAAGACCCAATTTATAATCAAAAGGGAAGCAACAAAGATTTGGGAAATTCTCATCCTGGCAGGTTGTAAAGACTACAAAAAGGCATTTTTAGGAGAGAGTACCAAGTAACCTAGATGAAGATATCATAATGGACAGAAGGAATCCAGTTTCAATTCATCCAGACCATAGAAGAATGACCTGACGAGGGTATTTTGAGTGTCTTCCAGACTTTGAGAAAGGGATCTGTTATTCCTTCTTTCCTGTTTCACCCTGTGGAATGGAAATGCCTGTCCTTTCCCTGTCCCATCACTGCATTCTGGAAGAGTCTGTTTTGATTTCACATGTTCACACTGGGGAGAGTAATCTGCCTTAGGATGAATTACACCTTAGGTCTCACCCATACCTGATTTCGATGAGACTCTGGACTTCAGACTTTTAAGCAACCTGATGCTAGAATTTAACTGAGGTTAAAATGTTGGGGGGATAATGGGATGGAATTAATGTGTTCTGCATATCAGAAGGACATGAATTGGGGGAGAGAGGGTATTGGAACAAAAACACTGATCTGAATGTGCTCCCCAAAATTCATATGTTGAAACAATAACACTATTAATAGGTTGGCTCTTTAGAAGATGATTAAAGCCATGAGGGCAGATCACTCAGGAATGAGTTTAAAAAGAAGTATAAAAGCCAAGTGCCTGTGGCTCACATCTGTAATCCTAGCTACTCAGGAGACAGAAATCAGAAGGATCATGGTTCAGAGCCAGCACGGGCAAACAGTTCAAGAGACCCTATCTCGAAAAAACCTATCACAAAAAAGGCTGGTGGAGTGGCTCAAGGTATAGGCCCTGAGTTCAAACCCCAGTACTGTCAAAAAAAAAGTATGAGGGAGCCATTTTTGCCCCTTTCACCACTGTGAGGCTGCAGCAATCAGACACCATCTTGAAGCAGAAAGAGAAGACTTTGCTGACACCCACAATTTGATCTTACAATTCCCAGCCTCCAAAACTGAAATAAATTATCTGTTCTTTATAAGTTATCCAATCTCAGTTATTTTGTTATAGTTACCAAAATGGACTACAACATATGGCTTAATAATCAATAGCAAAATCAGTATGTAGAAATGAATCTCAATCTGAATAACTACAGCTAAGCTGATCATCTTTGTTATTTTTATTGTTAAACAAAGTATGATTCAGAGATTAGACAGCCTGCCCAAGTCACAAAGCCAGTAAGTGGTACAACTGGGATATAAAAGCAATCATGTCGCTGTACTAAACTACTTTTCTATTTTTAAGAGTGGGGAATATTAATCAGATACAAATTATCAAACCTTCAGTTTTGAAATGATCTCAAGACATTCAAACTTTGAACCAAAGGATCTTACAAATACCTAAAGAAAAAAAAAACAGAACTTACACATCTGTCAGCAGTTACTTCACAACTATTAACAGATAAATGTGGGCATGATGGTACATATCTATAATCCCAACATTTGAGAGGTAGAGGCAGGAAAACTGAGTTCCAGGACATCCTGGGCTACATAGTGAGTCCATATCTCAAAACAGAGATAAATGTATACAATAATAACCTACCCAAAAAAACAACCTCTCAGCTTAACTAAATAAATCTTGAGTCTTGTCCTCTCACTAATGAAATGTATTTAATTCAGCAAAAATGTCATACTACATTAATGTTACCTGAAGGGACTTCAGAGACCAAAAAAATTTGGAAAATACTGGGGTGAGGGGTAAAAAGTAAACCCATTCTTTATTGCACAAATTCCCAGAGTCTTCATGCAAAATGTGAACTATGATAATCCTAACAATAGGAAAGATTACTTTCCCAACTTACTTGACCAAGGAACTGGTGAGGTTTAAATGTGTCTACCAAATTTCATGTGTTAAACATGTGATTTCCAAGCCAGGCACTGGTGGCTCAGGCCTATAATCCTAGTTACTTGGGAGGCTGAGATCAGATGGAAAATGGTTCGAGGGCAGCCCAGGCAAATAAGTTTGCAAGATCCCATCTCCAAAATAATCAGAGCAAAATGGACTGGAAGCATGGCTCATGTGATAAGAGGGTTAAAGCACTGAGTTCAAACCCCAATCCCCAGCAAAAAGAAAAGCAATCTCCAAAGTCATTTGTCAATGTTTGGAGGTGAAGCCTTTTGCAAGTAATTAGAATTTGAAGAGGTGAAGGAATGGGGCCCCCATGCTGGCATTAGAGACTTTATAAAGAGTAGGACAGCTGGAGATGTATTTCAGTGGTAGAGTACTTGCCACACTTGCACCAGGCACTGGAATGGATCACTGCAAAAAACAGGGAGGAAAGAAGCTATCAAGTTTGCTCTATGTCATGGTTTGAAATGATGCTCTTGGGCTTCCTATGCATGAGCTTAATAACCCTGTATTATTCATAAGTTACCTGGATTCAGGTATTTTATTATCACAACAAAAATATATTAAGACAACATTGTGAGGAACTAGAATTCCATATAAAAAACTTTAGAGAAAGCGCTCAACTGAAAATGTCAAGTATTTTCCTCTGCCAACCAGTACTTCACAGACTAGATGCTGGTAATGCTCACCTTAAATCATGAAATTTAAACTTCTTAGTCTGACATTAGCAAACCCTCAACAATCTGTTCTCAACTATCATACTAATATCTCTCTCAATCAATCAATCTCTCTCTCTCACTTTCTATCTCTTGGCACTACTGGGAATTTTGCACTTACTAGGCATGCTTGCTCTACCACTAGAGCCAAGCCCTCAGTCCTCATACTAAGATTTCTTCAAAAGGTGCTAGGTTTGAGTCTCAGCTCTGTCACTTACTAGCTATTAACTCTTGGACAAAATGCTTATAAAATGAAGATTATACCATCTAACCTGCAACTCTCAATGGAGAGTTATGAAAAACAACAAAATACTATCTTGTAGAAAACTTGATTACTGCACAACCCTAAATATTTACTAAAAATAACTGCATTATAAACTTACAAAGGATAGATTTAATAGTATGTCAATTATATTTCAAGAAAACTTTTTTTTTTAATCTGGAGCAAAAAGGATTATTCAATAAGTGAATTTAAGACAACTGGGTATCCATATAGAGAAAAAATTGAATACTTTATGCAAATACTTACAAAAGATAAAATAAGAGCATACAGCTCCAAAATTATTCAACTCTCTCATCCATTCAAAGTTATATGCTCAGTATGTTCATTTTTTTAATTTATTTATTTATGGAGCTGGGGACTGAACCCAGGGTCTTGCACATGCTAAGACCCCTCTCACTGAGTCATACTCCCAACCCCTCTCTGTATACTTAATGTCTCCTACATTTTAGAATCTGGAGTGTAATCAGTCACTACACACATACACCTGGCTCCATGTTCAAGACCCAGATATAAAGGAAAAGAATAAAAAAAAATTAAAAAAAGGAAAAGAATAAAAACCTGAAGTTAGACAAGAGCACCTCCTTTTGCTACTCACTAGCTATCTGACCTTGAACAAATATATGTAAGTTTCCTTTCTTCATCTAAAAAGGAGGCAATACCATTTTGCAGGGTTTTGGTGCAGAATACCAGTGGAATAACCCATGCAAACTGCTTAGCACTCTGTCTCATAGGTAATCATAAATATTATTTTTTATTCCTTCTTCTCCAGAAAGTACTCCCTAATTAGTTTAAGCTGCTAAAAACTATGTTACAGGGCT